GCATTTGAGATATCAAAAAAGTACTCCAGAGTGTTGTTCAGCATGGGGGTGAGCACAATATGAAATGAATCATGTTTTGGGTGTACGACTCCTTTAATTATAAGGTTCCCGGGGGTCCTTTAAAAAGTCTCAAAAGGCATTGAATTCTTCAAAATCAAACTAAGGCCTTAATTGGTATTAAAATGTAAAGAGTATGCCAAACATGGGACATAAGTTACAGGTAAGCTATCTGATCGTTGACATATGTTAGGTTTACGTTACTCGTAGTTATGGTGTCCAGCTTATCCTAAACCTCTGAGTAACTTGTACAAAACTTCTGCGGAACTAATCAATAACTTCTCTCCACCGCATATCAACATATCTGACGTGTTCCAGACGAGTGCTGAACGTGTTTTTAACTTCCAGCTACTGTTTAATGGCGTACTGGCAGCTTTTTGGTATAAAAAAATAAAAATTTAGCTACCGTAGGTTAATACAGCAATCAAATAAATCTTTTCTTGCAGACCGGACGCCTCCGGGAGCATTGCTGCCCCCATCAGGACACTGGCTGCCATTTCATGGGCATTACGCCACCGTGCCTTATGCATAAGTTAGGCTGTCGTTGGACATCAGTTCTGGACTCATTATGAATACTCGATGTATTCGCCAAAAATGAAAAAAAAAAATACATAGAAAGTTCAGCGTATGCTAGCGTTTTAGACCCTGTTTACACATGAAGGGAAAATGCAGATATTTCCCTGCGATTTGGCTTCACGTTTACACCAAAACCTCATTTTTATCACAGAAAATGATTATTTCTAAAACCTCCGGCCAAAGTGGAGATTTTTGATAACGTATTAGTTTCTCTAAATACCCGACTGTGTAAATGTGGCCTTAGAAGATTCCGGGATGTCGGGCATACGCTGGCTAAAATGGCGGGGTGTGACGGCGCCTTTAGGTATGAATTAAGAAAACGAGCAAATTCCTTCAGGGAACAAACCTCATCAGGACCTCTAATGGATCCAGAAACCTCTGGTTCTGGTTTCTATTTTAATGCATAATTTTTCAGCTTTTTATTAAAGTTCTTCTGAACCAAACTCTTGAGTTTAGATCTTTAAAAAGTGTTTTATCTGGTTCCTGGTTCCCTTCTGTTTGGATCAAAGCCATGGAAACGACTTGGACCTTAATGTCTAACAGATGAATTTGGGTTTCAGGGCCATGATCCAAAACTAAACTCCAGAGTTTTCATCAACCTGGTTATTGGCTGGACCAGAACCATAGTTTGTCTTTGTAAAAACACAAACACCTGTTACCATTTAGACGTGAGCTCCAGTGAAGAACTAGAACCTATCAGAACGGCTCAGGTTCATATTCTGTACAAGAGGTTCTGAAGGAGGTGAAAGTGGCTTTGGAATTTGGTTCAGTCATTGAGGAGGTTCTGGATGTTCTGGGATCATTGCTGATCAGAACCATGTTTCTGTCCGCAGGTCCTACAACATCAACAAGCTGGCTGAGCAGTCTGTGGAGGAGGTTCTGAAAATAGGTACGTACGTCAGCCCAGGTTCTAAATGAAGTCCGATTTGGTTCTGAAAGTCGTGCTGAATCAGGCCGGTGTTCATGTTCTGCAGGAGCGAATCGGGCCGGAGTTAAACTCCCGCTCAGCCGGGAGTTCATAGAAAGAGGTGAGTTCCAGATCCAGCCCAGGCTGTGGGGAGTTAGGACCCGGTTCTGATGACCCGTCCTCTGTGTGTTTGACCAGTAACCGACGAGTACAACGAGTCGCTGGTGTTCAGTCCTGAAGAGCGGCGCCTGTTCTACAGCGTCAGGGAACCCATCAGCAACAGAGTGTTCTCTAGCAGCCGCCAGAGAGGCTTCGCCAACAAGTCAGTACTTTGCGTTCGATGTGGTTCTGGATGTTAGTTCGGACCGAACAGAATAGCTGATGTTCTCCAGAACTTTCTGGTTCCTATTCAGAAAAGAAAAGGGTTTATTTCCACAATTTATAACACATCCTGTTTTTAATATAAAGTTAAAGCATGAAGGAAAATCAGGAAGCTTGTTGACCATATAAGGAAGTCTTCTGTCTTCTTCTGCAGGGTGTGCGTTCGCTCTCGCTGCTGGGACGCCTGCATGGTGGTGGACGGCGGCACCTCCTTCGAGTTCAACGACGGCGCCATCGCCACGGTCAGCATGAGCGAGGAGGACCAGCTCAGGACGGTCCTCCTGGAAAACTGAGACGGGTCATAGCGGGGAGGGGGAGGGGCGTCAGATCGAACCAAAGGGAAGTTCTGGGTTTCCTGGCCGCCATGAAGGAGGCGGCGATAGGTTCTAGTTGCCATTGATCCAGGATCAGGTTGTTTAGTTCTTCTCAGACTCTAAACCCATGATGATGATGATGATGATGACCTTCCTGTTCATTGAAGGAGGAAAGTGAAGCTGCGTTAACGTCTGACTGATGATGCTATTATTTCTGCTCTGATTTGGAAAAAAGTGTTTCTTTTTACCACAGAGGAGAACAACAGAAGGTTCTGAATGTTGTGACACACAATCCATAAAATCTCTGCTTTAGAACCCATATTTGGTTCTGTGCAGCCAGGACCGGTCCATGGATGAGACTGGCTGAACCCATAAACTGACGCAGAGCTCCCATAATAAACCATATTTATCTGCAAAACAACCGCGGCGCCTCGCAGGATCCTCGTTCTTTGACTTTTCATCTGAACCATCAGCTGTTAGAACTGGACCGAAACTAAGAGGAGAAAAAGAGAGAACTTCTAACGTCTTTAAAAAGTTCTGAGAAATTCTGGCTGCTTGGAAGAAACCCAGAGTATTATTATTAGATCCCTCACCTTCTGTGTCACATTCTGACAAACTTTAAGTTGTTTTATTGGCTGTTTTGGAGTCGATCAAGGATGCAGATTAACGACTACTTAGCTAATTGATTAATCTATGGATGGATTGATATTAGGATTCTTGTTAAAAAAAAAAACATTTTTTTTTTCTTTTTTAGAACCAAGTGAAGCTAAAACTGCCACTGAAGGAGTTCTTAATGGAGCATGTTTACAAAGAAGGTTTCTAATTAAATGGAAACAAGTATTTTTCCAGTTATTCTGCAAAAAAATGTCTCACATTTCCAGGTTTAGGTCTAGACTTTGACTAGGCCACTCCGCCCTGTAGATGTGCTTTTAATCTAAGCATTCTCTGTATCTCAGGCTGAATGGTAAGGCGGGTTATCCTGCTGGAAGGTGAACCTCCACCCTACCTTCAAGGGCCTGACGATGTATTCAGGAAGACATTTAAAAGATTAAGGACAACGGGCCAGGGTTTAGAGCCGTCCAATTTACACCAGCTTCTCCCCTCCTGCTTTAAAAAACAAAAACCCACAGCATACAGCTGCCACCACCATGTTCCTCTAAGGGAATTCTGCGTTTGTGATGTGCAGCGTGGCGATCTGCCACATCTGTGGCTTTCTTCTTACTGCTGCTGCTGCAGATGGAGTTTATTTAGGGGTATCAGAGTAGTGGATGCAAACATATACAACCCTTCACATGTCTAAAGATAGAATAAATAATCTCTGTCTCTTTATAATAATCCCAATAATTCACTGAAGTTTATTGGAATGTGATAAAAGAGGTGTGAATACTTACAAGGGTTCCATCAGGGAAGCAGGTTATAAGCTGATAGGGGGAAAGAGGTAAAGCACAACTTTATGACTGCTGGATTTAACTGTAAAAGTCTAATTTAACCAAGCTTCCATCTAGTTCTTCTAAAGTGTCCGGATCTATCAGAGCAGCAGATGCTTAAAGGTAGCCTAGTAAATTAGCCCCACCCGCCAAAATCATTTTGGCTGTTTATTCTGGCTTATCAGGCTCTGGCAAACATCCTCATGGACCCGTTTCCTGACATGAATCCATTGGGTTTCAGCAACGTGTGAAAGACGTTTATCTTCATGAAAAAGTTTGATGTGTTTTTTGTTTTTTTTTAGGTTTTAGTGTAGATCAGAGATGCTCAGGTCCAAAGTTCAGACAGAATCTGTTTGTCACTCATCAGAGACATCTGGATGGTTAAGAAGCACAGCAGCTTTTTATAAAATATGTATCCAGGTGACCTGAGCCACGCAGAAACCAGGAGTAAAACATGCCAATGAGCTTTCTGGGGTATTCTCCATCTTTGACTCAAAATCTATGTTAGAAATGGTTACGAAACCTGCAAAATGTGACATTAGAATAAAAAGCAACACTTTGTTCCATGTGTTTTTTTTTGTTTTTTTTAAACCAAAAAGTTCAAATGACACTAACCAGTTTATGGTTGTGAATCCCATATGGCACCAGATGCTTCCTGTCTGCTCGGTGTGAAAAGCTCCCAGTCTGGACCTGGAACCAGCAGGTTTCCTGAAGTGGAACTAGTTTCTGTGCCATAGAACCTCCTCGAAACACCGTCCCTGTTCAAGTGTTTTGGAAGGATGCAGGAATGTTTGCGTGTTTTAATAAAATATATTTTACAACCTTTTTATTCCTTTTGGTCTCCATTTTTAAATATGTCTTTAACTGTATTTTTTTTTTTAATTTTAGGTCAAAGGTTTGTAAAAAATTGTCAAAAAAAATTGAAAGATTTGCTGCACAGATGATCCAAATCTGAAGGTTCTTCAAATGGTTATAAAGGACTTTGTTCTGACATCTGCAAATTATCCAAACTCTGTATCAAAATTACTTTTACAAACTATTTTTTCCGACTTAGAAATTAAATGTTAAATTATTTTTATTTTATTTTTTTTATCTCAATTTGACTAAAAATTGAAAGGTTAAGATTTCAAAAAGGTTACCCACTTTTTATTCAAAATATATCCCCCCTTTGGCAGTTAATTTACATTTCAAGCAGAGGAAGTGCCCTGACCAATATGGCGGCGGCATCGGCTACAACCAGGCTGTTAAAGTAAAATAGCTATATAGGATACGCAATTAATTTCCATTTTCGAACGTTTAAGTGGCTGAGGCAGTTATCTGTTGTATGTAGACTAAATTATTAATTTAAACCGTTAAAAAAATGCAAGCTTTGCTGTTAAGCTAAAGCGGAAATAACGTAATTCTCCTATAAAGTTGCCATGTTTCGCTATATTCTGCACCCTTGTTTTGTTGAAAATTCTCATTTAAGTAATTTTATTCTTATTAGAGTCTAAAGTTATTTATCCTAAACAAGAAAATGAAAAATATAAAATCTTTCTATCGCAAAATAAACTTAATTCATTGATTTGTTTTCTTGATTCTGTTCTCTCTTTGTGCCGCGTGATCTGGCAACACGGTCACCATGGTGACGCTGGCTTCGTTGAAAATGGCCGCCGCATCAGCACCATCAGACAGGGCTCAGGCACGTCTGTCTTGGTTCTAACTAAGTTCGGTGGTCTTTTTAAATCAGAAGATTAAAAATGTTTTCTGATGAAACTCTGGAGTCCGTGAGGGTGGAGTCAGTGTGGCGGAAATCCCAGCAGGGGGCGCAGCAGTCGGTAAATGTCCAGAGTATTTGCTGGTTCTGTTTATCTTTCAATGGTTCTGATCTTTGGTTTGTTTACAGAAAAGCTGTCAGACTCCAGCTGTGAGCAGCGGCCATGCAGGAGTCCAGACCGGGTCCCGGGTGTCCAGTTCCACCCAGACTGAACCACAGCAGCAGGACCATCAGCTGGAAAACCTTAACGGTCCTGATCCACCTGGTCTGGTGGACTTCCTGAGGCGCGTGGAGGAGCTGCTCATCAAGGAGCTGCTGAAGAACTCCAGGAGCCATGCTTTCGATGGTTTCCAGGCGAACTGGACGGAACCAAGCCAGCATGTAAGTTACGATAAACTTTATTGATTCTGCTCAATAAACACTGTTAACAATGATGGAATGAAGCTGGAAGATCTTTGCTGCTGTTTATAGCAGAGGCGTCTCTAAATTTTTTGGGGGGTGGGGGGGTAGAGGATGTAACAAAAAAAGCAGCGTTTGGCCAAAATTTCCAATTTATTTATTTTAATTTTTCTATTGAACAGATTTAGCAGAGATGTACGGAAGAGGATTAGGGCCACTGGAAAAAAAGTTAACTGGTTTTTTTTATTTTATTTCAGTATAGTATGGGAAAAAAGTCAGAATTCTGACTTTAATCTCAGAATTCTGACTTTAATCTCAGAATTCTGACTTTTTTTCCATGTTAAACTAAAATAAAATTTAAAAATCAGTTTAAAAATCAGCCCTAATCCTCTTCCATAGAGATGCCTTACTGCAGGGGTAGCCAATTAAAAATATGTGGGGTCCGAATAAAGGAAATCATCAACCAGTACAGGTCCGGAGACTTTTATAATCTGCTACTTTAAACGGAATTTAACACTGAAATTGAATTAGGTATTTATGCATCAATGTTATTACGAGAGGAGATTAGGGCCTCTGGGGAAAAAAAAAATAAAATTAACTGACTTTTAAATTTTATTTCAGTATAAAATAAGTAAAAAATCTGAATTCTGACTTTTCTCAGAATTCTGACTGAATTCTGACGGCTAACAAACATGTTAGCATCAAGCCATAGCCATGTCTACGGAAGAGGATTAGTGCCACTGAAAAAAGTTAACTTATTTATTTATTTATTTTTTTTTTTTCGGTTTAATATGGGAAAAGTCAGAATTCTGACCTTTTTCACAGAATTCTGACTTTAATCTCAGAATTCTGACTTTTTTCTCAGAATTCTGACTGAATTCTGACAGCTAACAAACATGTTAGCATCAAGCCATAGCCATGTCTGTTTTAGAGACTAGCTCTCTTGTTTTAATCACCTTCTGCTCTTCCATTAATGATATGGCATCAACGGGGACCCATCAGGCACGTAAAAAGTCACCTAATTCCATCATTTTCCACCAATGAGTTACTGGCCCTTCCAAACAACTCACTCTCCTTCATGGTGCCCATCTACTTAAAGGTCCAAAGTCAGAATTCTGAAATTTTTTCTCATATTATATTGAAATATAATTTAAAAATCAGTTACCTTTTTTCATTTTTTTCAGTGGCCCTAATGCTCTTCCATTTGTTATACATTGACTATTTAAATAAAAAATATATAAAACAAAAAAAACAAACAAAAAAATTTTTGAAAATTTTTAAAATCTAAAGTGTTTTTTGAAGTAGAGAACAACAAGCATTCAGTTTGGTATATAGACAATTTCCTGTCTCAAATATTTTATAAAACACCTGAACTAACGATTTCTTTATTTTTCTTTTTTCTGTCTTAATGTTGGCAGTGGGCTTTAGGCAGAGATGGGAAGTAACGAAGTACAAATACTTCGTTACTGTACTCAAGTAGATTTTTCTGATATTTTTACTTTACTTTACTACTTACTTTTACTCCTTACATTATTACACAAATATCTGTACTTTCTACTCCTTACTTTTTAAAAAATTGGCTCGT